CGGCAGCAGAGCAGGGTGGATGGCGACAGAGGCCTGCTGCAGGACGGAGAGGGCTGGACGCCACCAAGACTCCACGAATGAGAGGCTGCAGCGCACACGATCTGCTACCGGCCGCTAAGTTCGGAGCAGCTACGAGGCCACAGCCACTGAGAGAGCTTGTGTCGAGGGCTCCGGGGTGAAGGCGTCCAGGGCGTCTTCGGCTCGCGAGGTGCTGCACAGCTGCAGGCGGCCAGCGCTGGCTGCTGCTGATAGCGTCAGGGCCAGCATGGGCAACGTGAGCGCCCGGGCGAATGACCGCACGCAAATGGTCACGGAGCCGACCGAGGCGATCAAGGTGCCGTCGCGAAGACGCATCGAAGCTGTGTAGAAGGGCGCCAGGACAGCCTGGCATGGCCGCGCTGAGGTTTGCCAGTGGGAGCAGGCAGCGACAAGCCGCCCGCTGTGAAGCCTCTGCCAAGGCCAGCCCTGGACGAGTACGTAAGGTTAAAGAAACGGTCGCTCATTAGACAGGACGACAGAGGCCAACCCCGCAGCCGACACTGATCTGCCGCAAGGCATAATACAGTAAGGATTGGGATGCGCGAGGGCTGCGCGAAAGGCTGCGTGATGCAATTTGCGCACCTCTGCACGCGAAGGGCACGTCTGACGGCGCGGATATTGCGATGACATCGAGGACTGAAGACACGGCGGGCCCAGGCGTGAATGATGCAAAGCTGCACGCAATGGCCGGGGTGCCTGGCTGTACCGGACGACTGCCAGCACTGCGCAGCTGTCGTTGCTGCTGTCGCCTGCTCCGCATGCCTCTTGGCAGAACCGTTCTTGTGGGACCCGCTGTGATAACAGCCATGCGGGCCTGATGAGCGCGCGATATGACCATGGCCATCCGACTGCCACCCCCACGGCGACTGCTCCTGCACCCAGTCCGTCGCACTCCCCAAACACCTCATGAGCTCATGAGGTCGCCCTCCGCCCTCCGCCCTCCCTCATCGCATCTCCCAACAGCCTCACCCGTCCGGACTAGGCAGTCCATGATGCCGTGGCTGCGGCCGCCGCACAGGTGCCGAACTCCAGCTAGTCCAGCCGTCACCCACCTTATTCGTGTGCGTGCAATCCGTCGTCGAATGGCGTCTTCACCGATTCACACACGCTAGCCTCATCATACCATTGTGCACGTGAGCGCCAAGTCAGACATGCATCGGAGACATGCGCTACTTTGGTATGCTGGCTGCGCTCCACCACTCAACGATTTGTCTCAGGTAACAAGCAGCTTCAACCTCCCGTCAGCAGATGGCTTTTGTGTTGCTAGACAAGGTTTCATTCTCAGACAGGTCGCTAGCCGTCCGTACCTGGGGAAGCAGTTCACCGTCCATGCGCCTGCGCAAATGTGCACACGCGGGGTAGTATGGGGATACGAGCCAGACCTCGTTTGCCCACTTGGTACGTCTCTCACGAATTCGTCGTCTCAGTCTGCCCTCCTTTGTCCGCAGAAGACCCGCGTATGGTCTCCTGATTCCAGGCCTTGCTATCGCACCGAACAGGACGGAGAGCCTCACGGATGCCGGCAAGAGGCTTAGCTTCTGCCAGGCTAGACAAAATGATAGGACAGTTGCGGCTTCTCACATTCACTCTCAAGCTCCGGGCAATGTCCGACAATCATCCCACTATGATGCATCAAACGTTCAATGCCTGAGGGTCGGAGTTTGCCCGACACGTACGAGTAGAGCAGCTACGCCATGCTGTGGGACATGTCTCGAAGCGAGCGGGCCATGGCTACTCTTTCAAATCCTCATCTCCGCCCTAGCCAATTCTTCCGGCGCCAGGTAGAGTTGTACAAGATCTCCAGGGCTCGCTTCCGGGACCCTCAAATCTACGATGCCCGGCCCGACAGCAGACGTTTCAAAGACTCTGGCCAGGCCGAGGCAGTCTGTATGGAGAAATGCTTCCGTGTTTACATCTTGAAGATCGTCATTTCGCCGGCACTTGGTAGGGAACGACAGAAACGAAGGCGCCCGCAAGCGCTGGATCTTGAACAACCGGCGGCTGCGGTTGGAACAGCGACTAGGGCTCCTCGGACCTCTATTTATGGTCTCCACTTGAACCCTGCGCTAGCAACCAGCACCGTCGATAGGACCCGCTGGGTCTTGGGTATTAGCGTCGATATCGTCTGAACGCATCCGGCTCTTGCACACGCGGACACTGCGCTTTCAAGCGACGCAGAAGAGCGGTCTGATGGTTGCGGTTCGACACAATACTGCGTGCAGATCCGCTAGATACATATCTAGCACGTGAATTGACTATTGGCTGTGGTGGAGAGCGCTTGACAGAGTTTCGGCTCACTAGCTGGAAGCGCCCTAGCTTGCACAGGTAATTTCGACTTCCCACGACGCCATGGAGCTCTCGTGGAGACGAACCTGTGGCCGTCGATGGCGCAATTCAAGTGCACAATCGGAAGTGGGGAGCGAAGGGAGAACTTCCCGAGTATCCCGCCTGCTCGAGAGTCGCGGTCTTTGAGAGACGTTGATGTCAGAGACCGATATCTGGAAGCTTCGTGGTGCAGCGGATGCAGTTAGAGCGTGCCAAGATTTCAGTGAAAGCAGATGTCGTACAGTAACTCCATCTTGCTGGGAGTCGGATGCGATCTGAGATGCCAAGTACTACAACTCGCTTCACGATGCATGAGATGCAATGCTCCACGTTCACGATGCTCGCGTGTGAAATGTCGAAGCTTCTTCCTGGGCAAGGCTGGAGCTCCAAGCTCGGCTCAGTGGTCCATGCATAACCTGATCCCCGCAAACATCAACCCCACAAACCGTCTGACAGCTATGCACGTCATGTCCTACCTCTGAATGCAACCCTGAGTCGCATACTACATCCACGCAAACTATCGCCATGACCTCAAAGTTCTTCTGCCTCCGTTCAGCGCGTCTCGCTGCGCGTTACCCGTGCCCGCGACGAACATTTGCTTCAGCCGCCTCTAGCCGCGCAGACCACGTTCGCATTGTGGAAGTCGGGCCACGCGATGGGTTGCAGAATGAGAAGCAGACGATACCGCTGGCGACCAAGATAGAGCTGATTGAGAGGCTGGCCAAGACTGGTCTGACCACCATTGAGGCAGGCTCCTTCGTCTCGCCCAAATGGGTACCACAGGTAAGCCACGGTTGTTGAAGCTGAGGACATGCGCTGACCACCAAGACAGATGGCCAATTCGGCTGAGATCCTCGAACACGTCCTCTCTCGAACGCCCCAATCACCGCATCCGATCACGTACCAATGGCTCCTTCCGAACGTCAAGGGCTTCGACAACTTCCTCTCCATGTGGCAGTCCAAGTCGCAGTCAGGACAAGACGCATACCCAACACCTCCACCATCCCCAGGCACGGACAACGGACCAGCCCTAAACACCTCCTCCTCAGACCCCAACGCCATGCCCTCCGCCTCCTCCGGCGCTGAAGCCATGAACGCGAGCCGCGACGCCCAAGCCCCCATCCACGAACTCTCCATCTTCACCGCCGCAACCGAATCCTTCACACAAAAGAACACAAATTGCTCCATCGCCGAGTCCCTACAACGCTTCGAGCCCATCATGTCAAAAGCAAAGGAAATGGACCTCAAAGTGCGCGCCTACATTTCCGTAGCCCTCGGCTGTCCCTACGAAGGCCCAGACGTAGATCCACACAAGGTAGCAGAGCTAGCAGTGAGCTTACTAGAAATGGGCGCGGACGAGATATCAGTCGCAGACACCACGGGCATGGGCACCGCACCGAAGACTCTCGAGCTACTCAAGACGTTGAACGCAGCGGGTGTGAACAAGGATGACCTAGCACTCCACTTCCACGACACATATGGTCAGGCGCTCGTCAACTCCGTCGTTGCTCTCGAACACGGTATCCGTACTTTTGATGCGGCGGTGGGTGGGCTGGGTGGTTGTCCATTCAGTCCTGGTGCGACGGGAAATGTTGCGACGGAGGACTTGGTGCATTGCTTCCACAGTTTGGGTGCGAAGACGGGTGTTGATCTCGAGGGGCTGGCAGAGGTGGGCGAGTGGATATCGAAGGAGTTGGGTCGGGGCAATGATAGTAGGGCGGGTAAGGCGACGTTGTCGAGGTTGAGAAAGGCGAGGGCGTAAAGGGGTTGGAATGAGAGTTTTGTGTTCAAGTCGGACTTTTTATTGAGTCTGCATCTGCTTTCTGCTTTCTGGTCGAAGAGGAGAAGACTCTCAAAGTGTCAAGATCAGGTTAATGAATCAACGTTTCACATTGATAGCCTGCATATTCGGATGTCGAGGACAAATCGTGCTGGAATAGACTTAGTAGTTGTTCCTGCTGTATAGACTTGTCCGAGATAGCGATGGTATCGAGATGTGGCCACCTAGGATTCTAGTGCTAGTGTCAGGCCATACAATTTGCTCCTCGATCGCTCCTTCCTCATATATGCCGCGCTGCTGATGTTACAATTCGGACAGTAGGGCTGTGAAGATGAAGATGAGTCAGTTCAGGGAGGAGAAGAGAGGGTAAAGGGTTGTGTAGCGGCTGGGGTGTATAGAGAACGTGCAGACTCGTAGATAGCTAGAAGATGTGTAACATCTTCCCAGGGCGCAGTGAGCATTAGTAGTAGGAACAAGCGGAGACATTCTAAGTCATAAGTAAACAAAAGTTCGTACGGCATATTTGCATTTCACAGGTAAAGAAGACTGGGGCCTATTCTTTTTGGCTCTAGTGCGCCGTGCTGCGAGAAATCTTGTGGTCATCAAACGCTCCTTCCTCACTTGCACCGCGCTAGTAATGAGGCAACTCCCCAGGGCTATTTATTCGCGCCCACACTTGCCCACCTCACGCGCTTTCCAACTCCAATACGACCACGCCTACTCGCCATATCACACGCTCGATACCTTTTGAAGCTCCACTAGGTACCTCTCAACTCTCTCGCTGGTACAGGTCTGGGCTCATGTAGGTGTCGCACCTTCCTCTAGTTCTCGTACTAACTGAATGATAGCAGTAGTCATGGCGGCCAACCTTCCCAGCTTACCGATAGAGCTCCTTCTCAGTATCATATGCTGTGCGGAGACTCGCTCCAGCAGTCGCAAGCTATGCGAAGCGCTTCGTCTAACATGCAAACAGCTCGATAGCAAGATCATGCGGTACTTTGGTAACAACCACTACAAGCGAATCAAACTACCGTTCAGCGAGACAGGACTCAACCGATTGCTGCGCATCTCAAGGGGACCACTAGCTCACCATATCGAGTCTGTGACTATCAAATGTGGTACCGTCCATCCATACCAGGACGTATGCATACAGAAGGACCCAAATTCACTATTGGACGAGAACATCAGCAAATGGCTAAAGGATGGTGATTGTGCAGAAATCCTCGCGTCTGCTTTGTCTAAGCTACCGAATCTAAGTGGGTTTCACATCAGGGAGACTGGCTACAATTTCAGGGTCTATGAACGGGAGCAACTCGAGCTACTATGGAATTACTGGGCTACAACATTGAGAACTCTGCTAGCAACAGCAATTCCTACTATCCAGTCTCTCGAGGAGTTATCCATATGCGCCAACAGCACTATCATGGCAGCTGATCCCTCTCACCTGGGAGACATCATCACCTTCACGGATCAACTTGGAAAGCTTCGGATGCTTCAGATAGACATGGTTCTCGGTACTGGCAAAGGTACGTCCAAGATCGGAGCTCATACAGCCGATCAACACTGATCGGTTACAGATGATGATGCTGGAGATATTCGCAATCTTTGCAGCCTGATCCGAGTCGCCGCAAATTTGGATGATCTACACATCGGATTTGGAGGTAAAAGTCACTGCGACAGATTCTTCGAATCTATGAATCAGTCCTTGAATCTACCCGCGCTGCGTCGGCTATCCTTGTCTAATCTAAAAACGACACAGACTCAGCTCGAACACTGTTTACGCCCCATCAAAGATACTTTACGGATTCTATGCTTGGAAGAGGTATGGACCTACAAGGCCACCTGGCCTGTCGGAATCGTACATTTTATTAGGAGAGAACTAAATCTGGAAGAGGTCACCTTACGAAAACTCAGTTTCGGCGACTTAGGCCTCCACCTGAGGAGGTTCCACCAACTTCGTCCAAGTATCGTGCAACATGGCTATGGCTATGATCCACAACTGGAGGATGAAGGGTGGGCATATGTTGATTGGGAAAATCGTTGTTCAGCTGAGATTATCCTCAAGTATCAAGAGGGTGATGACATCAAGTATTGGCTCAGAATGATTGAAGAAGACTACAGGTTGAAAGGAAAATAGGATTTTGACGGTGGAAGACGGAGAATTGTGGGTACTACTGATACTACTAAGTGTTAAACTTCATAGTTATTCTAGCTTGTATCAGACATGAATCAGTCCAAACTGCCGGCAAACGATAGAATCCAAGCATATGGCTCAAATGCCAGGTTATCAAACGATCAGTGCGTCTTACGATCAATCGCTTGCAAGAACCAACTCAGGAAGATCGACCCGATTCCAAACCCCTTTCGGCCTGACACGATACACATCCCTAATTGGCCTGACACGGCACACATCCCTAAGATGAACCAAGAACGACTCCATAGTATAAACTTCCCGCTTTATCGTAGTGCCTAAGCAACACAAGCAGTACAACTTCTTCTCCTTCACCAACGGCACCGGGTCAATCGCCGGAGCCCAGACAGAGCACATACCCATGACTGTCCTCTTCGGTACGACATCCACAGCTGTAAGGCGATAGCCAGTCTGAAACTGCGCCTTCAATTCGCCAAGGAAGACGCAACGCTTGAGCCAATATTTACTATATCGCTCACGGCCAGTGTCGCGCGGGTTTTGTGCCCGATGGGGATACATCTCATCGACGTAATCCCAATCGTACATGTTCTCCTCTGCCTTGATCCAGAATCTGTTTACCCCATTCGTCAACGTGACAGGTGAGAGCCGGAAACGGGGCACCACCGGGCTCAGATCCTCATGGCCTATGTCGCCAACGTAGCGGGCACGCATTACCGCCTCTTTACTTGCGGGCCGCCGGTGGCCTTTCTCTAGACAGGAGAGGCAGAGGCGCGTGCAGGTGGGTAGGTAGACTATTTCTGCTACCCTTCCACAACACTTCTTCCCGCTCTTTTTGAACGAGCAGCGTCGATGTCGGAGCGTGCGAAATAACATTCTCGGTGTGATGTGCACTGTATTTCGTATCGCTATCATTCCTTTCACAGTGTTTGGCGCCCACTTCAACGCGTACCTTAGAGGCGATTCGGTGTCGACGAGGTGCATGGCGAAGCGGCAGCAGCGTCGGAAACGCATCGTGTCTCTGATGGTAAGATCTTCGATGATCTTGAGGAGGATTTCTGTGGGGAAAATTCCAAGAGACCCGCAGACACGGTTTTTGGGTAGTGGGTCTGTGAGAGCGGAGATTGGGGGCATGCGGTCTATGAGGCCGTCGAGGATGAGATGGGACTTCTTGGGCGAGAGAGTGTAAGTGAGGGTTTCGATGGGTATGTCTTGGGAAGATGTCATCGTGACTGCTGGAACTGCGCAAGCGCTAGTATGATGGGTTGCGAGGTTTTTGGAAGAGGCTAAGAGGGGTGTGAAAAGAGGTTACGGTGCAGGTTGTTCGTACGTGTTGTCGTAAGCGAGTTGGTTGAAATGCACAGCGTGTAGGATGATCGAAGATAGTCTGCACAGTTCTATGACCAACAGAATATATACTTGGCTCTGACTTACACTGTCACCGTGTGGCTGTGATGGCGACACTGTACCATGGTTACTATCCACTTTATCCCATGGTGCGGCCATGACGCCTGAACAACGAGTCACACATGTCCTGCAACCAATATGATACGTAATCCGAAGTACTTCTTAACTATATAAGCCGTATGTATCGAGAAAGAGGAATGGCTTTATGTAGTATATTCGTTTCGTGATACTGAGCCCCACTAGCCGGCGACAAATCCAAGTCGAGATATGAGATTGAGCATGGTGGGTGTGCAACAAACTGCGACGCAGATCCTAGCTACCCCTGTGGTGAAGATGATATTAGAAACGGTGCAACTATCGAGACTTGACTGTGTGTGTGTGAGTGTGAGCAGCAAAATGTGAGAGAACAAGAAGATGAAGATGATAATCGTCGACTTTAATTCGAGAACCTCCATGGTACGTGAGAGAAACAAGATTCAGGATACTGCAATATGAATTAGTAAGATCCTGTTCCTTCCGACGCGCCGTTGTATTCGTCCCAGATGGGTTGATGTCGACCACGAAGATTATCTCGGCGCTTTCTATGCTTGACTTGTCTTTACCTGATTCCCCACCTTATAAGTAGACCATAGTCAAAAGAACGAACCATTACGTCTCTAAAACCTGTTCCTAAAGATTCCTGCGCATTGCCATCGAACCCCGCCACTTTTGAACACTGTCTCTTTATGGAGGGCCGTAGATCTTGTATGAGGCCAGCGAAAGACAAGGAAGTTATGCTGATGATGCACGGCGCTGCTCAGGCGAGCAAGGGACGGGTATGGTTTCGGGGTATAAGAAAAATGTATCAAGGTGCTCTCTATTGTCAGGCTGATCTTGTCGTTTGAGACCGGCGACGTGTAGTTAGCGAGAAACTTAGTATGAAGCAGGGACATGTTCTGGCCCATCTGTGCTCGAACGCATGTGAAATATTAAGCCTGGTATCGATAACGAGGACGTTCATAATATTCCTAAGCACCAATTTCATTGCATACCATTGCGACTCTTGCAACCACTCCACTCAGTCCATCTCGCCCTGATGTCTTCGAGTGACAGCGCTCGATCGTCATCACAGCCACGGCGCCGCCGACGATCATCGGTAGCAGCCACGACGTCACGCACTGCCACCAATGCCTGATCGCCGGCTAAGGTAATTTCGTGGGGAAGGTAGCGTGCGGCTGCGGAGGGTCCTCCGCATCATAGCAGATAGGGGAAAAGCAACTGCCGCAGCTAAAACGATCACGATCAGGCTGAGTTCAGGTTTTGCTAGTTTGGTTACACAGCACCGCGAGCATTAGACACATAACGGCGCTGCGTACCACTACCGGATCAGACGGATCCGAGATCAACGAACCACGACGGCTTATGCGAACGCGAAAGAAAAAGAAAAGAAGAGCGGGCGTGATGCGGGAACGCTGGGCGTGTGGGCGTGTGGGCGTGTGGGCGATGGAACGATGGAACACATTTGTGTTTCTTTCGTGTGACGGTTGAAACATTGGAATATCGAAACTTGATATGGACATGACTTCGAGGGCCTGGAACGTATGCAGGGAGTTACCCGCCCATGTGCATTGTGCCTGTCAGACTGTGGCTTGCCTCGCATCCAGTCGCAGCCACGTCGACAATTTCATCCAAAGAACCCTGGAAAACCACCAACACCTCATCTGCCAAGTTTGCGCTTGAGATCATCTTGCTTGTGGCAGCATCATAGCAAGCTCCGAATTTGAGTTTCTTTCGTCGGCGAAACCCTCGGTCGGGGCGCAGTCCAGGACGCTGTTTGGTCGATTCAGGTGACAAGTTTGATGAGATGGGTCGGTGAAAAAAATGACGTGTGGTCGATGGCAGAGTAAAAGCAGGGTTCAAAAAGCGGGCTAGTGGCTAGCGTGGCTGACGCACGGGGCGGGATCGACAGCGAACTTTGACGGAACAAGGCAGGCACGACGACGCCAATGCTGCATCATGGAAAGCGAGTTGCAAGGCTGCGTCATCGCCCGGGGCAGTATCGAAACGGACAGAGACACATAAATCCTTTTCGCTCCCCCCTGTGGCTGGCGAGTATTCACAGTCTAACATCACAACAACATACACCTTGAGCATCGCCCTCCTCGTCACCTCTCCCACCTAGCACCTCTCTCTACCTCGAATCTTAATTGCGACAATGGGTTTCGGCGGTGCTGCTTTGAAGTTGGGCTCTACAGCGCTATATGCGCTTGAGTTCTGCTGTGCTGCGATTATCCTCGGTATCTACAGTTACTTCCTGTCTGTAGAGGCGGACCGCGATGTCAACATTCCCGTCTGGCAGCAAGCCGTTACCGGTCTCGCTGGTGCGACTGTGCTATACACCATCTTCGCAGTCCTGTTGACTTGCTTCCTTGGTGGAAAGGTAAGACAATCCCTTGGCGATATAAATACCAACACACACTAATGCCATCCCCAGAAAATCTTTGCTTTCCTCGGCATACTCCTCGACATCCTCTGCTGCGGTGCCATGATCGCCGTCGCTGTCCTGACCCGCGACGGCGCATCCAAGTGTTCCGGCCGCGTGCAGACACCCCTCGGTGACGGACCCGCCAACTCCAAGGAAGGCTTCGGTTCCAACGGCCGCGGCGACCAGATCACCTACTCCGCCTCGCTCGGCACGATCTGCAAGCTCAACACCGCCTGCTTCGCCGTCGCCATCATCGGCGCCTTCCTCTTCCTGCTCAGCGCCCTCGTCCAGGTCTTCCTCATGAAGCACCACAAGAAGGAGAAGGCGTTCGGTCCCGGCCCCAGCAACGGCTACACCAAGGGCTCCGGCATGAAGTTCTGGCAGCGCCGCAAGGCTAACCGCACCACTGGCCACCGCGACCCTGAAGTCGGTACCGTCCCTGCTACTACCGCTGGTGGCCTCGCTGTCCCTGCTGGCACCCACGACTACCGCCCCAGCCACGACACCGCTTACACCGGCTCCACAGTTGCTGCCCCCCACACTGGTTTCGCGACTGACAAGCCCGTGACCGGTGGATACCACACTGCTCCTCACGTTGCTCCTACTGCCAACTACGCCAATAACGGTAACACCGCTACCTACGGCTCAGCCACCAACTACTAAGCCATTACACCCTATCCTCATGAGAAGATGAGATTGGCGATGCTCTAGATTGAGTAAGGTCTATGCTTATAAGCATGACCACTTTTCCTTATTACTTGTACTCTATTACGACGTTTACGCATTATACCACACACGGAGAGGAGGGAGTTGAATACTCGAGATGAGATGAGCTTGTATGATGAATTGGATACGAAACTTAATACCTAATGTCAATATCGAAGAAATATATATGATCTAAAACATTACTGTACCTCGTTGATGCTGCCGGTGTCGTGTCCTTGGCACATATCCTCGTTGTCGACGAAACAGTTGAGCACGACCAGCGATAGAGTACATGGCGAACTATCCGAACGAACATGAATGCACAATACTGTGTCGCCGGCATTCACAGATGTAAACAAGCTTTACACGTAGTTGTAAACCAGCGGTGAACTGGGACAACGCGCATGATTGACATGTAGCCGCCGAGAGTATTGAATAGACCACTAGTTCGGGCCCTCACGAACCTTATGCATTGCGCCCCGCTCAGGGAATGCTTGTCGACAATTCCCCACCAACCGACCCCACTCGACACAATAAGCATTGACGAGTTGTAATAACTCAATCACAGGTACCGCGTGATGCTCGCAGACAAGGCTCGCAAACGAATAGCAAAAAGATGGTTCAAATGGCAAAAACATACAGCCTCCTTTTTGCCATCCAATGCAAAAAAAGTCCAAAAACATACAACAGCGGGGATTCCCCGGTGGTCACCCACCCGAGTACTAATCCGCCGGTATCTTGCTTGTATATGGCTGAGCGGACGGGAAGCCTAATTCTCAAGATCCTGTGGTCGTATGTGGAAGATATGCTCGTCGTGGGAGTGAATATTGACGGTGGATGACGAGCGAAAGACTGTTCGTCTAATGCTTCCCGGCAGCTAAGCTTGTATAAAGCTGATCGCACTGCGTTATTAGTAACAAAGGTTTTAATAGCTCTTAGCTTGCAACATCGTTTAGCATGTACATAGAAGTTGTTGCCTTTTATTAATTGCATAAGGCATGCTTGTCGACTATCTTCCGCTAATTAACCCTACTTAACAAGACGAGCAACAGTAACATAAAAGAACAAGTAATATGCTACACTCTACATTTTGTTTACCCGAGCCCCCAAAGTTTTCTTAGGTCTGCTGCTCTACCAGAGGTCGTCCAGCCAATCTCCTGCTCTATCTTGGATAGGTGTCTCAACAGCGCGAGCTTCTCTGCCGCATACTTCACATCGTTTGCAATGTCGCTCTCATTCAGTCGTGGTGGGACACCTGGCTGCTTAGTCGAGCTATCGCCGAATACCTGCCCAGCAATGTAAAGAGGCTGTAAGTGATTGGCCCAGTTGGCATGCGATGAATTCGCTAAGCTGATCCCACAGAGCTCTTTGGCATGCCAGATTGGATCATACCTCTCTGTCTCAGCGTGCATCTCGTCCTGATGCACATCTCCCGTCCGTAGCAACAGAATGGACCCGGCATGGTAGAAAGTGTTGCCGCAAACCGACGAGTTGCTGGTATATAGAACAGTCGGAAATGGGTTCCCTTGATGTGCCTCTGTTCTGATGAGAGAAAGAACTTGCCTCGGACGATGAATTCGCCAATCTTGTAGTTCACGCCACAATGCGTTAATAGTAGACGGGCTGTCAGATAAGTGTCCTTGTTGTTTCCGGCTCGTTGCAATGAGATTTATTATCTTCGCGAAGATAAGTATAGCAAGATTGCAGTAAGCGTCAATTGATGCAGTGGCCGCAATTGACCGCACATTGCTGTCATCGACCCAATCACCGGTTGGTATCAGGGTCTCTTCTTCGAGAACAAAGGCTGCCCATACATCTAAGAACGATTCAGCAAGAGTACGTGATGCGATGTAACCATAATGTACCTATACGTGCGAAAGCCCAGAAACAAGCCTTTATGAGTCCTGGACTAGAGCCGTTCCAACCTTTAGACTTCAAGTTCCAGACACAGCCCTGTAGAAGATGTCAACATCGGCAATCCACCAATCTTACCTGGCAAACGAACCTTGAGATGGCGTCTCCACTCGCTAACATCAGAAGCCATCATTTCGTAGACACTTAGTAGGATACAAGTGGCTAATGTAGCTTCACCACACTGAGATGGTTCATAGTGAAGCAGTGACTGCACAGCATGCTGATAAAGGCTTAACGTACTCTGACGCTGACTGTGATGTAGGGCGTCAAGCTGTCGGGATGCCAGAGCCATGGCTGCGGCTGCGAACGGTTTGTTCTCCATCAATTTATGAACATATGATCCTGTAAAGTGCCTGCCTGAGTCTGTGGCCTCGCACCACGTCCCCGTTTCTTGCAGATACACACGAACGAGCCGAGCTTGTTCCGCCTTCGACACAGGAAGCTCAGCCTCAATCTCTGATGGCGCAATACAGCTGACGGCTCGATCAAGTAGGAATGAGGAGGCTGACGTGCTCACCGACGAAGCATGCCAGGACGGAGAGGGAAAGGTGCTTTGGAGCAGACGACCAGTATCTTCAAGACCCTGACTTTGAGCCGTCGCGGCAGGATTGGCCGCGACGTTGCGGTCCAACACAACCGAACTTGACGAGGTGAGCTCCAATTCGGCGTACTCTGCAACGGAAGCTTCTAGATGATAATCAGAAGTGCTCGCGTCCAAGTGGCTTTCTGACCGAGCTGCGGCCGCGCTCGAGCTCCCAGGATCTAGGGATGCGGCAGCGTAGAAATCTTGGTACTCGCGCACGATTTGATCCGTGTTATCCACTATCTGAACACTGTGAGCACGCACACTTGAGGAAGACCTAAGAAAACTGTCGACCCTAGCTTACAGTCGTTACGGATTGCCCGCCAGATTGGCCTCGTTCCCCTTCAACGACAAGCAAAGCAGCGCTATGCTCGCTGGACAATTGTAGCGCTCTGGACGGATGGAACGACGCTTTCAGACCCCAGCGGCACTCATCACCGCGAGCTTGACAACTCCGGCATCGTGGCTGAGCTCCATCGCCTAGGAAAGATGAACCAAAAAAACACGCACGAGAACTGGGATACAACGCACACTTCCGCCTTCTGCGCCGGCAGCATAGGCTTCAGCTTGCAACATTAGCATTATGAAGGCAATGATGACGTAGTTTCGATCTTACCAACCCAATCGAGACCTTGTTCGACTGGCTTGCGCAACGATCTCTGAGTCACCTGCCATTAAGGCAATATGTCAGAAACTACGTATTGATGTATCATGTAAGACGGGGAATAGAAGCACTAATGCGTTGAGGTGATCGTAGAGAAGGTGGGTAAGCCCTGGAGCGCTTCCACTTGCTCTGACGCCAGGGTCTCAACGATACCAAGCACTTTACCGAGGTTGGGCCGTGTCAGAAGCAAGCCGAAGCACCCGACATCCGGAATAGGAAAGCACGCACAAAAACAATCGTACATCGCCTCCCCTAAACGCTACCTAGGTATCTAGCCAGACACAGGCCAAACCCAGCATGTAGTTTGAAAAAAAAAACGTGCAGTCCAATCTCCATCCGACAGATGATCAAAGACCTGGCGCTTGCGGTTACACCTGTATGAAATGGCGCTAGTGCATACAAGGAACCATCTGCTCGGCGGTGTGGTTTGGTATGTAGACACATGATGTTATCAACATTGGGTTCAATATACCTGGTGCCGCTAGAAAGCTATAAAGGCGCTCAGGTACGATCACCAAGCTGGGTATCGAACTTGCTTCGTCACACCTTTTACCCCCCAACTTTTACACAGCGGCCAGCCTATTCGCTATGACCACACAACGAGTTTTTCGACTGCCCCAGCGCACTTCCATCCAAGACCTTCAGGTTAGCGAAGAGGACGTGCCCTCACCCTCCGCTCAAGAAGTCTTGATCCGAATCAAGAATGTAGCTCTCAACTTCCGCGACTTTGCTGTTTCCACCGGAAAGTACCCTTTCCCAGTGAAAGACAATGTGGTGCCTTGCTCTGATCTTTCTGGAGAGGTTGTACGTGTGGGCAGCCACGTGGAGGACTTCGCCGAGGGAGACAAGGTGATTGCATCCTTTGACTTGAAGACCTTGTACGGTGCTATGCCGGATTGGCACCATAGCTTGGGTGGTTGTTACGATGGAGTTCTTCGAGAATTTATTACATTGCCTAGCTCGGCACTCGTCAGGGTACCTTCAACTACTAAGCTCAGCTTCGCTCAGCTCTCGGCTCTAGTCTGTACAGGAACCACCGCGTGGAATGCGCTTTACGGCAACGTTCCGTTGAAGCCTGGCCAGACAGTGCTCTTTCTCGGTAAGGGTTCTTTTTTTTTTAAATCATAAGAGCTACCGCTGATTACATTTGTAGGCACTGGTGGTGTTTCGATCACTGGGCTTATCTTGGCTAGGGCTGCAGGCGCTGTCACGATCATCACTTCTTCCTCAGACGACAAGCTCGCGCATGTTCAAAGAACGTACGGTGCCGACTATACCATCAATTACAAATCGACTCCTGCTTGGTCCCAGGAGGTGCTCAAGATCACCAATGGCCACGGTGCAGATTTCATTCTCGAGAACGGTGGAGCTGGAACGATCGGTCAAAGCATTGATGCAGTGGCTTACGGCGGAAACATTGCTGTCATAGGGTTCCTTGCCTCCTGTCCCCAGGAGAAGATGCCTGACGTGGCAGCGCTTGCCCTATCGAAGGGTGCAATCGTCCGCGGCATCATGGTTGGATCTAAGCAACAGCTGGAAGATGTCACACGCTTTGTGACTTCCAAGAACCTCAATGTGCCCGTAGAGAAGGTGTTTGGCTTTGGGAGGGATGAGGTCGTTTCTGCCTTTGAGTATTTGGTGTCAGGTCAACACATCGGCAAGGTGTGCATTGCTGTAAACTAAGGTAGCTACCCTTGAGGCGACAGTCCAGCAGCAATCTGTTTCCCTCTGGCCTCACCTAGAAGATTCGCTATGTCCTTGTCAACCAGGTCGAATTCTCTTTCAACGAGACCCTTGCGCTCCTCTGACCTCGGCTCAAAGACAGCAACAAATGGTTTTGGGCCGGACACAAACCCAGTTGTAAACATTTCTTCCGATACGTTGATCCTTGCGCCATCTTTAGAGCGTATGTTGAACGCCCAAAGCAGCCTTGCCATCGCTATGGCTAGAGAGTTTCGTGCAATGAAGCGTCCAGGGCAAACTCTCCGGCCGTATCCAAAGTTGGCAGGCTGCGTCTTTTCGATCCATCGTTCAGGCCGGAACACTTCTGGTGAGTCATATGTGCGGGAGTTCTGGCGCATGGCGGCGAACACGGGAACTACAACTGAACCCTTGGGTATCAGATAGCCTTTGTAAAAGTCCTCCTGGGTCGTGGCATGCGGAATCCCAGCTGGCACAATGTGCCGCCATCTAAAGTTTTCCTCTACCACGGCCTGAAGATAGGGCAGGTTGCTCAGATCTTCGAATCCAGGAAGGCGATTCGTACCGACGACTTCGTCGAGCTCTTTCTGCGCGGTGGCAATCCAATCTGGGTAGGCTACGCATGCCAAAATGAAAATCTGCAATTGGACTTGTGTAGTTTCGACGCCAGCATCACACAGGATACCAAGGTCCCATGCTATCTCTGTCGGAGCGAGATCTGTTGCCTCCTTTGACTTGTTGAATTCCTTGGCCCAGTTCCATCCCTTGCGCTTAAGTGCGTCTTGCATGTTGGCCATGTGGAGATTTTCCCACATCTCGTACCACGTCTCAGCCGTTTTCTTCCACGGCGTCAATGGTGCTGGGAGACTGTTCAGAGACGGGAAGAGATCGACTATCCACGCGCCGACCTGACCGGCAATAGTGAAGTTCTTAAGACACTCGTGACTGGTCTGGAGTTGCCATTCGTCGCCGGTGATGATGCGCATACCGAAAGTGATGGAATATACGATGCTCGCTGCAAAACGCTCAAACTCCTTGGGGAAGTCGTTTGATTGAAGAAGGTTTTTCAAGAGCTGTTTGCTCTCTAGGTCCTGGATTGCCGTGTAACAGGCTGACGCGCGCGGACTGAGCACAGGAGCTTCTAGTCGTTGGTGCAAGAGGAAATCACCATCGAATGGCTTGAACATTATGTGCTTGCTCTTGCACGTCAACTCTTGTGCCATGACCTTGGAATATATCAGGTCGCTATTACAGCTGTCGGCAGAATGGACTTGTGACTTACCATGCGTGGCCGACTACTGTAGATCATTGCCTTCTTGTCGAGCAGATCTTTGGCCACCTCGTGGTCTCCAATCAATATCACATTCGTGCCGCCGAAATTGAGGTACACAAGAGGACCATACTGTTCCACCCATCTCTGGTATGTAACCCAAACTGCTTCTTTGGGAGCCTGGTGTAAGTTGCCGAGAATGGGCAAACGAGGCGGTCCCGGAGGTAAATTCGAGTCTTGTCGTTTACGGAGCCAGAGGTACAATATTGCCAACAGACTGACAACGAATAGAACTGTTGGTGATAATGTGGCCATTGTGACTAGGTTGGAGTGGTTTGTGACCAGAATTTCGAGGCATGAGGGAAGACGCTGTTTATCCGAAGATGCGATACAAGGCGATGACGGGGCATGTTTCGAGCTTTCGGTGCCTCATCTCATGCGAGGCTTCGATACCTACCTACCTAGGTAGGTAGGTACGTCCCGCTCCCTGAAATTGAGTGGGGCGGACCACGGCCCGTCCCATGTCACAGCCAATGACAGTGCGTGGGGGCTACTGGGTTGATACGAGCGTACCCAGGTAGCGTTGTGTAGGATTGCGGCACAGCTTGAGCCATCAAATCATGAACGCTCATGAGACGCTTCTGCAGGAATTTCGGCAAGTAGGAAAGTGTGCCGCGCCAGAAGCCATACGGCACAAGCTTGGCATACCTGAACGAGCGATAGCACGCTCGAATGACCCATACTTGGGACCCAGTATGTCCAGGAGCAGTATGAGAACGATGCTCTGCCCTGTGAAGTGTCTTTTGAGTGCCGTTGCGATGCATTCGAGGTTTGTCGCTGCTCCTTTCCGCAGACATGAATGATTATCGAAAAGTCCTCAATGTTGTTGGGTGGACGCTGGTCTCATTTTCATCCATCTTCGTCTTAGCGCGATCATATACACGCGCACGAATCGTGACGACGACTCTGGGCTGGGACGACTGGTGTATGATTGCGGGCCTGGTGAGTTCGACTTTAGACCTCAGTCCTACATTCGATTGCCATTGACTTACTCGAACATCAGATCTTCGCTGTAGTGTGTACATCGCTCGTAACAGCCGGCACTGCGCACGGCCTTGGACAACATGTATGGGACATCAGTGATCCAGAAGATCAGGCAGTGGCTACCATGTACGTGCTGTTGGCGCCTTGCTTCTCCATCGTCAGCGCTTTCTTCACGAAAGCGTCCATCATCATCGCACTAATGAGAGTAAGTACACAGTACTATGCAATGGACGTGACTCTCAGCTTACCAGCCTAGATCCGAGGACACACAGCGCGTCTATCGCACAAGTGTGTCGCGTACGCCCCTCTGGTCGTCCTACTGATCGGCTCCACACTCTCATGCTCTGTCATGATTTTCTTTTGTTCGCCCGTACAGAAGTCCTGGAAACCGCAGATTGAGGGCACATGCTTGAGCCCCGCAATGCTGAATGTTGTCGGAAAGTCGGTCTCAGGTATGTTGGAAGAATGCCAATGTCTCTGCCAGGTGCTGAAGCCTCAGTGTATAACGCGATGATGGACGTCTTTTGCGCCATCATGCCGTATTTTATCATAAGGACTTTGAACATTCCTCGAAAGGACAAGCGAAATCTTGTAATACTGATGGGTGGTAGCATTCTGTAAGGTCACCTCGCCGCACTGTTGGTGCAATTACTGACGTTGGCAGTGGCACATTCGCAACCATCATGAAGATCGTAGCAATGGGCAGCATCTCCAATGTCGCGGACATGACACACTCTTGGTCAGAGATAACGATCTGGTATCTGTGAGTGTAGTGCTATCGAACACAAGAGACCTTGACTCACTCAAGCAGGACTGAGAACAACGTCCTCATGATCGCTGGATGTTTCCCTGCCCTGCGGCCGTTCTGGCGTGTTGCGATTGGCAAATACAGCTCGTACCTCTCGTCGAACGCATCACGCAAAAATCCTCCACGAGGCGAAAACGGACAATCGACCGAAGACAAAGAGCTGCAAGTGTACACGGTGGGATCGCAGCCCAAACTAGGGAAGAAACCCAATTTGTATTCGACAACGATCCGCGTCAGTAGTGAAGAAAGGTTATGTCCCAGATTAGACGGAAGTTCTGTGGAGACCATTGAGAGGATCCTGCACAACCATGGAGACGAGCGCTTCGAGCGCCAGGCTTGCATTGCCAGCACTCGGACAGGTGGAATATCGCCCAGCGATTGCACGAAAATAACAGTTACCAGTGAGGTAGAGATCAAGTGAAAAGCGTGTCCAATCGTTCCATGCCAAAGTCCTGTGTTCGTGGCATGCCAGTAGCACCCAGCACTGTGAGTTTTGACGGATCGCGGGTAAACCCAATTCTCAAGATCCTATGGTTGTATGTGGAAGATAAGCTCGTTGTGAAAGGATATATTGACGGTGGACGGTGGGCGAAAGACCAAATCGCTTCCCAACATCAAGGCAACTCCTGCCCCGCCCTCCCGTCCATCTCATATCTCGCCCTCTCTTGTTCCAACTCAGTACGCCCATCGGGTGGTGCTTCGTGCGTGTAATCCTGCATATCCTTCCGAGCAGCATGGGCCTGATGCATGGTTGTGTCCATGGCCGGTTTCTGCAGTGCTCTTCTCTTCTTGCGCTCGCGAAAGAAGAGCCAAGCGAGCAACGCAATGATGATTATAGCAGCAGTTGCGCCGACGCCGATGCCTGCTCCTGCGCCCGCCGATATACCACCGCTCGACGATACATCGGATTGATCTGTGGTATTGGTTGCTGTTGGAGACGGCGCGCTGGTGGGTGTAGAGGCCGCTGCACTACCGTCCGAGGACGCGGGTGTACTTTGTGAATTGGTTGAGGTTGTCGCCTCTGATGCTGCGACGCCTTGTGAAGCAGTGGCCGTACCCAAGCTGGCTAGTATACCTGAGCTATCGACCTTCCACCACATTGGCGTCTTTGTCGCGTCTGAATCCTTGTCTTGTGCGTCGCTTACTTTGCCTGCAGAGTTAGGGGTACGAAGTCAGTATGTGTCTCACATGCACTTCGTAGAGGCAAGACTTACCTGTCAGCGGGTTGACATAGCGCAGTTGAGATAGCCCGTCTGTGCAACAGCGATCATTCCCATAACACACGACGTTCTCTCCGCATAATATTAGTCCTATCCCCTGCCAATCTTGTTCTAGAAAGTCCTCTTAATAGTGTTCTGTATGAAGACTTAGACTGTATGGACTCACCGGGAAACAAGTCACTACAGCCCGTCCAGTTCTTGTCGGCGCAATATTGCCGGCCAATGTTTCCTGATCTTGTACACAGCAAGTTGCTGCCGCAACTTTCGCTCCATAAGCAACAATTGTTCGTGCCTTTGCCACATGAGACTAATTCATCGCTAGTCGGATTGTTAGATTGGAAAGTCTCGCCTATGAGAAGCGCACGTTAGCAATAGACAGAAGGGCCTATGATGGCAAGACTCTTTTGGTTCCGGAAGTACGGATGCATACGCACCATCGCGTGAGTAGCAATCGGCCCAAACGCCTACTGCCAAAGTGAAGAATATCACCCGCTGTAGAAGGCACACACGCATCGCAACGTATAAGGAAGTTAGACGACGAGGACGGCAAGGAGAAGGACGACGAAGAAAGGCGAATGGACTCGTCAGGTATTTAATTAAATAAGACAGACCGATGTGGGCAACCCGTGTCACAGCCCTACGCAGGGCGTAATTGTAAGATTCGGAATAGCGCTTAGGTTTGGCCCCCAGATCCATTTACCCACCCAAGTAGAATCGTCTAATTTGGGTATCAGCCATGCTGATCTGTGCCAACAATAAGACGATGCCGTGCCGGAAATAAAGGTGTTCCCTGAGTGTATCGCGCCACGGCACAAGAGACTCGGGTGGGATGAAGTCCCGGGTACGCAATGAGAAGTGCGCTGTTGTGGCGCGTCAGAAGGGCAGATGACTGCAGATTAGCGAATTGTTGGTCCTGATCGTACAAGCTGCCCAATAGAATAAGATCGTACTAGCCGCCCAATAGAATAAGACAAGTAAATGAAATGGTACCGATCGAAATCTGACGCGAGAACATACGTGATCATCCATGCGAAGCTTGAAAGAAGTCTTATCTTTCCCGACAATGTTCGTGGCCAACACTGTATAAAGCGATAGGAGACGTATGGAACTCTCGAAAGACGTGATTCAGATGCCGGAATGTATATATCACCGCACCCGATACAAGACTGAGCATCAGCAGGGGTGGCCAAAATTCGTGTCGCATTTGCGTTTTGCTGTATGTACACTACTAAAGCTTAACACGCATATAGGTTCTCAAATGGGTTATACTTCAACCTCAGACATTTGTATAATGTGACACGAGTAGTGGCCACCTCTGTTCGTATTCCAAGGCGAGTGGTAGTGGGGGTGCGTTATGCGAAAGGGCTTCGCATCTGTCAAGGAATAACACAAGTAGAGAATTTGCCATGTGGTTACAGTCCCATCAGAAGGCTAAGTCGGTGTTTGAGATGCTTCCGAATTGTTCTGTATCAGTTGTGCGACATGTAAGACACACAAGGAGAGAAGGAGCTATGGACCAGTGGGAGCCAGTCAGCGTGTGGCTGAATAATCCGACAAACGTCATATTTCGTTTGGCCCGAGTTCCCGAACTTTCATTCACGAGCCTACATACCTCGCCATTGCGACCACACCACCCTACCCACCAAACATAACATCCACACCTATACAAAAGATGGCCTCAAGCACAATCCCACGTTCTGCCATGCGCAGCCTATCCCGTGCGACACCGTCTCTACGCTCCGCAACACCGCGCATCGCCACGAGATGTCTGCACCAGCAATCATCGCCCATCACAGCCTCGAGACTGCAACATAGACCAACAGCACAGCCATGGAGCCAAAGAGTAGCAGCCCCATCAGCGACAGTCGCGCGACGAACCATGTTCATCCAAACCGAGCCAACACCCAACGCCGATGTACGCCCCCCCTCCTACTCCAACCCCACCCCATACTAACTCCCCCCAGGCCCTAAAGTTCAACCCCAACCAGCGCGTCCTCCCCGAAACAATCTCCTCACCCTTCCTCGAGTACCTGAACCCACGCTCCACACTCGCGCCACCGCACCCCTCCCCGCTCGCCGCGCAACTCCTCAACATCGACGGCGTAACCAGCGTCTTCTTCGGCGCCGACTACATCACCGTAACCAAAGACACATCCACGCCCTGGTCGCACGTAAAGCCCGAAGTTTTCGCCCTCATCAACGAATACATGACGTCCGGCCAACCCATCGTCAACACCGTCGCCTCCAAACCCGGCGAGCAAGGCCAAGGCGGCCAAGAAGCCGATTCATTGGCCTACGACGAAAACGACGACGAAGTCATCGGCATGATCAAAGAGTTGCTAGATACCCGCGTCCGCCCCGCGATTCAGGAAGACGGCGGCGACATTGAGTTCCGCGGCTTCAACGACGGACAAGTCATGTTGAAGCTGAGGGGCGCGTGCCGGACCTGCGATTCTAGTACTGTGACGCTCAAGAACGGGATCGAGAGCATGTTGATGCATTATATTGAGGAGGTCAAGGGGGTTCAGCAGGTGCTGGACCAGGAGGAGGAGATTGCGTTGCAGGAGTTTGCCAAGTTCGAGGAGAAGCTTCGCCAGCAGAAGGGGCCGGATGCGACGAAGGGGACTGTGGGGAAGGGAAGTCTGGATTATGTGGAGTAGGCTAAGACTGGGGGTGTTGAGGGAGGACTGGACATTGACCATGTGATACCAATGCATTCATTCTGCTGTTGTTCGGCATCTGCGATGGGATGTGTAGTGTGAAGTTGCAGCCAAGTCTAGACTTTTGCAAACGGTGCGGTATATCCATCGGAACACGCACTTGACCACTCATTCCAGTATCATGATATCATATCATAGGATTCAGCATATAAGAGTAGCGTTTCGCAAGTAAACAAAGTATACTACAGAAAAAACAACAAAAGAGAAACAGTAATCATGCAATGCCAACCGATCAACGTTAAATGGGTATCCAGAACGTACCAATGCTGTTGCGTCAAAGGAGGAAACCAGAGAACGAAAAGGACAACGCCACTCATATGCTCAAAACATGGCCTCAAGTCTTTCCACAACCGTTCGTAATCCAAATGTAACCACCTCCTCTTTCATATGTAAAACCCCCGCCTCATCCTTTATCATTCATGTGCTCTGACAACGGCCGTGAATTGTCGTAAATCTCAATGTAACATCCAAGTGCATGATTCCAAGATCGTCGTTATAATCGTCAAATGCAGTGTCGGTCGCAGGTAAAATTGTCGTCGTCCACATCTCGCATCAAATCATTCTTCCAAGAGCAAATTCGAAACCGCATCCAGCGCCTCGCCCATGGAGCCCCAAAAGCTACGTCGGGGAGGCGATCGGATGATAGTGATAACCTTCCGCTTGGGCGATGACGGCTCTTCGGTAATGAGAGTGTCGACGGTATCGCGTAGTAGTTTGGAGTATTCTTCGTGAATCTCTCGGGATAGGTCTTCTTCCTCGACAAGCGTCATACAGCTGTCTAGCATCCCGAACTCTTTCGCTGTGTCGTTGTTATCGTGAACCTCATCATCTTCCGGTAGCGCCTCGCTCTTTGCGCCGAAATCCGACCAGACAGATTTCGCAAGATCGTCATGATGGTAGCTCTTGTCCAGCTCCTCGCGCATGGATTGGCGGACGGACCTCATCTGCTTGCGCAAATCGTTGATGATGTCGGTTTGGATGCGGTTCAGTGTTTTGAACTCGTCCATGCGCGTCTTGAGGTCGTAGATGTACTTTTGCACGCCCGCGATGTAGTTGCCTACTTGCGAAACATAAGCTTCGTGGTGCAACGTTTTGGCTTCAAGTTGTTGTTGCTCACCCTCTGCTTGTGTGATGATGGCGAGTTCCTGACTGGAGTCGGAGGAGGAGGGCTTGTCGTCGTGTGTCGCTTCGCTTTGGGCTCCGCTGGGCGAGGAGAGATGCGCGGTCATGGCTTCGAATTGTCCGACAATGTACTCCATTTGCTCTTCGTCGGGGTGGTGTGTCTGGATGAGGTTCTCGAAGTGCGCGATGCAGGATGAGAGCGCATTCTGCACGGGCGATGAGGAGGTCTCCGAGTCGTCGTCCCATGGTGTCGGTGAGGTGGGGAGTTCGGTATTGTTTCGACGTAGTATGCGTGAGCTATCAGGAGTATAGGGATAGCGCGGTTCGCCTTGGGTACGCAGATGCGATGCATCATCATA